ACAGAAGAGTAATTACGCAGATACTGGCGAGCCCTGTCCATGCTCGGTTCAGCTTTTTTCAGTCCAACTTCAAAAACTTGTCAGTGGCGTCCAGGATTAAGAAAAATAAAAAAAGCAACTCCTAGTATTACATTTGTTGCTCTATAAGTTTAATAGTTAAGATTTTTCACGTAGAGTCACCCCGAGAAAAGTTATTCACGAGAAAAGCGCAAGTTTGGCGAAATTCGAATTTCGGCGGTTTTTTCAGCGCGCTCTGGCGGCTTAAATTTCAGTCATATCAAAAAATTGATAAGAACTTGTTTTCTTTAGAATTTTATGTAGTTTATTTTTGAAAATAACTACTTTGGTCAAAAAATCAAAAATAAGCGAGATATTTTCAAAAATTGGGATTTTAGGCCATTTTTAGGTCATTTTTTCAAAATGGCGGCTTTAGCGGCGAAAAGATCTTTACACAAATGCGAAATTCGGATTCAGCGTCTAAAAATACATAGGAATCACTCATCAAAAAGTTTTCCGGGAAATTTTCCCCAAGAGCCCCTATTTGATGCCCAATTGCCTGGACTACAAGGCAAAATCCAGCGGGCGGGCTCGATCCGAACTTTGTAAAATGTGCGAAAATTGCGCATACTGTAATGTGTTGGGTTATCCTTATTATTTACATCAACTCATTTCACTAAGTGTAAATTTTATCATCTTCACTTAATTTGTGCAGAAATTACTCGTCGGACGATTAAAACAGGAGACATCGGGCAAAAACCGCGAAAAACACAATTTTTGCTCATTTTTCAAAGTTTGGAGCCCGCCAGCGCGCTTGATTTTGCCTTGAGCAAAAAAGTATATAAGAACTTTTTTATAGGAAATTTAACGAGCTTTATTTCTGAAAATAACTAATTTTATCGTCAGATCAATTTTTGGCAAGTTACAGGCCATAATCCGGAAAAAAGTCCGATTTTAGGCCATTTTTGCCAAATTTGGCAACTTTCCGGTCCGAATTTAATTTTGCAAAGTTGAAATCCGGATTCAGCGTCAAAAATTACATAGGAATCGATGAAAACATTGCTACCCGGGATTTTTGCAGGTTATAGCCCTTTTCATCATAGCTTTGATTAACGCCGTGTTTTCTCAGGCTTCTTTCTTTTTCCTATTATTATTTATTTTTTTTTTTCGATATCATGTACTAGGTACTTACACTAAATACACTGGTGTATTTTACGCCACATACTGACTTGATAACTCAAAACTATTTTGAAAATATTTTCAAAACTTTTTAAGGAATATTTTAAAAATGTTTACCTGCAATATTTTTGAATTATTTTGAAAATACTTTTTGTAAACATTTTCAAAATATTACCTAAACAAGTTTTCAAAATATTTTCAAAGTATTTTGTGCTAACTGGGTATGTTTCACGGGCACTTGCTAGCAGGTTTGATGAAACCCCTTTTGGAGCATTTAATTGAATGTTATTCCTAGACTGTATCGGGTCTTAGTGAAAAAATCAGTGTTGGGTATGAATTAAAAAGAAAATAAATTAATAATATGTGTTAGTTCGTAATGTCTCTCTAAAAGCGTCCGAATCGCGAAAATCCCATTTTAGATACCAACGTAATTAATAATTAAAGCAGAAGATTATTTCTTGCTCGCCGACAGTCGATAGTGACGTATTCCAATGAATTGCGGTCAGCGAATTTCCTCCGATACCAAAACTTTTCAGACTGAACTGGAGTACTAGTGTGGCGTGGCACAACCAACAATACCTGATATTTTTTACCCATTTTTCACTGCGTTGTATTTCTTCGGACAAGTAAAACGCTGTCACCGATATTTTAGTAATCGTAGTCAAAAGCACCAACCCTCTTTTTTACTGACGGAGGATTTTCAAATTGTGCTCCTGAAAAGATTTCTCCTGTGACACTCGTGTACATTTTTCTCTGAATCCGATGAAGATATTTTCAATTTTTTCCCCGTTACATTACTGATTTTCCGTTATGGAAGCAAGCTGAAGCGTTTTTTTAAAATTTTGGACGATTAAAATTTTCAGAGGTTACCGAAGTTGAAGAAAGATCCATAATTTTTAAACGAATTTCAAGAAACGATCAATATTCAACGTTCAAAATGTTCAAAAACAGGTCGTTTATATAGGCGGCCATTAATTACACAACTAAACAAAACTCGTCCAAATATCTTTAACGGTTCCTGAGAAGAAGGTACATGCAGTAACGACTATTTCCATGCTTTAGCAGAGAAAAGTGGTCTCCTTTGTCATAAACTTCCAAATTAAAAATCGTACAGTTTAAAGGAAAATATATGTATGCATGATTTGTCTACTAGCAAGGGCAATGCAAGAAGTTGCTACTTTCCAGTTAAGATACAATTTAACGTCCTTTAACGACAAGAAAACAGACTGATCCGTCAGGTACTCATGGTTTTTGGACGCAGGTAACAGTTTTCAAATTGTTCGACTCGAAAAATTTGCCGTTGTAGACTTAGCGGGCCTCCTACGGACTCCAGTTCAAGACCGAGAATACCTGCAGCTGTCATTAACAAGGCAATTTTTGAGACGGCAAGAATTCACCACGCCGCGACTTGGCTCTCGACGAAACAAAATCGTAATGCTTCGTAATTTCACTTTAAGTCAGGTCAAACGAAATTTGTGTGTTGGGGATACCTATCGGCTCCAAAATTTGAAAAACAGAATACCAAAGTAGACATGTTCAAAATTTGGAGCTAAAAGGACGATATTTAGAGGGTGCTGACTCCCTCTCTACACGAAAAACGCCCACTTCGCGATTTCTTCCAAGGATTCATGTCACTTTCGAGGAAGCAGGATTTTCGACGGTCGTTTTTTCGCTAGTCCAAAGGGCCTCAGTAGGTCTCTCTGGCCGCCCCACGGGTCCCAAGAGTCCTCTCTGCCTGTCCCATAGGTTCCAGATGGTCTCCCATGGGTACCAACAGGTTTACTTCCCCATCCTATGGGTTCCCATTGGTCCCCATGAAAACCCAATTGGTTCCCATTGGTCCCTATGAAATTCATAATGGAACCCGTGGGACCGTTTTGACAGGGAGGCCACTTTGAGGCTCTTGAAATGTCCTTTTACGTTGTTTCACAACCTTTAGGGTCAGTTGGGGTAATTCCGTCACGGAGGCCGTAATATTGAGGTTAGGGAATTTTCGCTCTAGTATGTTGTTGCCAACGTTCAGTTGGTTACCCTGAGTGATTTGGTTCTCAATTTTTGTTTATTTACAAGTAATAACGGGAGTTACCGTGGGGGTGTGAAAGACGAATCAAATTATAAAACGCATAGCTTCCCTCTCAAGTGTTATAGGTAAGAAAGAATATCTTTATATTCAACAACCATTATTTCTATAGGTTGTTCTGTTGATGAATAACCAATTTTGTCCGTTCTTCGAAAGATCAATGAACCTCTGTCCAGATTTAGCTAAGACCGGAATTATCCCATCGGAAAAACACCGGTGGGGTAATTCCGTTTATTCAAGGTATTTTCCAATGGCGTAGTTCCGGTTTCACCCTAATCTGGACAGAGGTTCATTGATCATTCGAAAAACAGACAAAATTGGTTATTAATTAATAGAGCAACTCCTGGAAATATTGGTTGTTGAATGTAGAGATGATTTCTTTTACCTATAACACTTTGGAGGGAAGTTACGCGTTTTATAATTTTATTTTTCACGGTAACTCCCGTTATCGTAAACAAACAAAAAAATGAGAACCAAATCTTTCAGGGTGACCAACTGAACGTTGGTAACAATATACTAGCGCGAAAATTCTCTAACCTCAATATTACGAACTCGATGATGCCCATCTCGTATGGAACGGGGTGATTCCAGACGCTATGAAATAATTCACCATAAAATTTTGACACCATTTTTTTCAACAAAAATTAGCCTAACTAGCTCCCCACGGTATAAGGAACTGGCCGTTTAAAAAAAAGCGCGCGCGCTTTTTAGTTTAAGTGTCGGGCCTCAGTTGTTCTGTCTCTTTAAGCGACCCGCGCGTCCACCGCGGGAAGAGTGTATTTTCCGACGGGAGGGGGGATCAATCTTTTGAGGTTATATTTTCGTTTACACTGTTGGATTTTTCGAAGGACTTCATGTCGCCGGACTGTAATTAAAAGCCCAATCTGCAATAATTAAATGTCAGACATGAAAAAATTTCAATAAACGATGCGGCAAGTTTGAATGACGATGGCTCAATCTCCGTGACTTATTGTGCGACAACATCGCCGCCATGTCCACCAATTTTCAGTCCTTGACCCACTGTGCAACTACATTGCCGTCTTGTCCACCAATTTTCAATCCGTGACCCACTGTGCGACTGAATTGCAGTCTTTTCCACCAATTTTCAGTTCGTGACCCACTGTGCGACAACATTGCCGTCTCGTCCACCAATTCTCAGTCCGTGACCCACTGTGCGGCCCTGCTCCCCTCTAGCCGCGCATCCCCCGTCTAAAACTTTCAAAGCTCGCCATTTTTAAACGGTGCGGCCGATTTTGCTCAAATTTAATACCACCTTAGTACTTAGTAAGATCTACATCCTACAAACATTTCGGGGGAAAATATCGTAATTTGCGCGAGTTATCGCGACCACAAAATTGAACCTGCCCCCACTTCTCACCCCCACCTTTTGAAATCTAACACTGCGATCTCGGTTTTTTTTTGCGCAAAATGATTGTCCTGTTCCTCTACTTTACACCGCAAAAAGTTTTACCCAAAAAACTTTGAAAATGGGGGAAATATAACCCAAGAAAAATCGGGAAAACCACGATATATATATATATATATATATACACGTAATCTACGACCCCTGATCGATATACTGTTAGTATATACGCTTTTATAATATAAAGGTTGTAGAACAACGTAAAAGCACATTTCAAGATCCTCAAAATGGCCTCTCAGAGTGGTCTCTTAGCCGGTCAGCCGCTTGAACTCGGATCTGTCTGTCAGGGCATAAATTTGATTTAATTTTGTTCAACCTCATCAGCACTCAATGATTTTGCCATCGGATAAATTTTTTTCCTAAGTAAGGATACGTTTCATTCACTAACATAATGTCTCACTTTTACCTGAGTACTATAAGAGGCATATTTAATACACATCTGAAACGAGTTCACTCATCTTTTTATCTTGATGTTTTTTAATTGTTTTACAAGTGTCCAATTTGCACCCTAGATGATATGAAACTAATTTAAGGTTTTATTTTGATCCCTTTTTCAATAGGTGGCCACAGCACATTCTTTGCCCTTTTAAATACGTTCGTCCATATCATCATGTACTTCTACTACATGGTCGCTGCAATGGGTCCTCGCTTCCAAAAATACATCTGGTGGAAGAAATATCTGACCTCGCTGCAAATGGTTCAATTTGTCTTCATCTTCACTCATCAACTCCAACTGCTGTTCATTGAATGCAACTATCCCAAGAGCTTCATGATATGGATAGCACTCCACGGAATCATGTTTCTATTCCTCTTCTCCGACTTTTACAAAGTCAAATACACACAAAACGGCAAGAAGGGTCACCAAGGAGCTTGCATGGTGAGAACCGTGGAGTGTCTCAATTTTATTTTTATGTTTCATGCTTCATGAAGAATGAACAAATCAAGAAACAACATCGTGATGTTCTAATTTAACCTATTGATCACCGTATAAGCACCGTTAACATCCTCTCACCTAAAATAATCGATGTACAATCATACATAGAGCTCTGTATCTCAAAGCAGGGCTGAATCTAGGGGGAAGTGGGTACATGTGCCCTGGTCGCCATTTTACGGAGGGGGGGGGGCGTCAAAATGGCTATGACTGTTTTTTTTTCGAGAGAGAGGGGGGAGGGAGGAGGGTTTCGAACACTGAAACAGGAATAACATGAAACATCTTTCTTTCATTGCATTAATTTATTTCTACCTTGTAATCGGAGGGAGCTCTTTCTGTTCATTATTTGCTGAGTCAATGCACCTTTGAAGATTTTTACATGTATATACAGGGTTATCCAAAAGTCACCTACCACCCCTGTAACCTTTTTCCTAATTGAGATAGAAGTTTGAAACTTTGGGAATGTTCCTCGGTTTAAGGTAGCAACTTTTTGGTCCCCCCAAAATTTTGGGGGCGGTCCCCCAAAGGAAAGGAAAACTTTTTTTTTTCAAGTTGCAACCCCCGTTTTGTGATACCTCATTCGAAAGATAATAAAAAAAGAAATTTTTTGGCGTAATTCGCAGGGTAAAATGTTGATTTTTGACAAAATGGCGGCCTATCAAAGTTCAAAATGGCGGAAATTTGGCATCTCCGTTTTTTATCGGCGGATTGGTCTGAAACTCAGAATCCTAGGGTTTTTCGGGACGAGAAAAACGATTCTGGCAGTAGTTTTCCAGAAATGCCAGTCCTTTTCGAAATGGCGGCTTAGAACGGGAAGTGGATATTTAGGCTGCTTATCGTCGGATTTGTATGAGACTGGGTATCCGGGGGTATTTCGGCACGAGGAGAACGAATCTTTCATTGGATTTTTGAAGTTTTTGAAAATTTTAAAATGGCGGCAAAAATGCAAATGCCGATGGTGGATGCGGATTTTCCGTTATTTTTCCGCCACCATTTTGACGATTTTCAGTGTTTCAAAAATCTAATGGAAGATTAATTTTTTTCGAGCCAAAAACCACCAGAGTATTGACTTTTGTGCAAATCCATCGGTAAACAGCCGCGGTATGGATTTTCCGTCACTTTTCGCCGCCATTTTAAAGTTTTTAAAGATTCCAAAAATCCAATGAAAGATTCGTTCTTCTCGTGCCGAAGTACCCCCGGATACATAGTCTCATACAAATTCGACGATCAGCAGCCTAAATATCCACTTCCCGCTCTAAGCCGCCATTTTAACCGCCGCCATTTTGAAAAGGACTGAAATTTCTGGAAAACTACTGCCAGAATCGTTTTTCTCGTCCCGAAAAACTCTAGGATTCTGAGTTTCAGACCAATCCGCCGATTAAAAACGGAGATGCCAAAAATCCGCCATTTTGAACTTTGACCGGCCGCCATTTTGTCAAAAATCAACATTTTACCCTGCGAATTACGCCAAAAAATTTCTTCTTTTATTATCTTTCGAATGAGGTATCACAAAACGGGGGTTGCCATTTGAAAAAAAAAGTTAGCCCCCGCCCCCTTTAAGGGGAACCGCCCCCAAAATTTTGGGGGGACCAAAAAGTTGCTACCTGAAACCGAGGAACATTCCCAAAGTTTCAAACTTCTATCTCAATTAGGACAAAAGTTACAGGAGTGGTAGGTGACTTTTGGATAACCCTGTATATCTATCATCAACAATTTACAAAAGGGCAAAATTTTTTTGGTTCTTTTCTTTTAAGGAGCATCTGAAATCTGAAATCATCGTCATCCCTTGTCTTATGGGTAAAGTCTGAGGATGAGGATCGCCAAGTCTAATATTTTTGTTGCATACGGGATCATTGAATATAAGGAGAAAAGAGTCCCAAATTCAAGGCAGGAAATTAAAATAGTGGCTGGCAATTACATTGCAAGCATATTAAGCTATGAAAGAAGATAGGGGGACAAAGCGACCCCTGATAAGTTAGAAAAAAAAGACGGCCTTCACTCTTGGGAGAACCACCTAACTTAGAATACATTCGAAAAGAGGGGGGCGCCGAGTTTGAGGTACTTACCGAAGTAAGAAAATAATTGAAGACAATGAGGACATAACTGATTCACCTAAATTACTTTTTATTGTAGAGTTAAAAGCATAGATGGTCAATTGTTTAACCCTGTGCGATCAGGGGCGGACTGAGCAGGGGGGTGGGAGGGGGGGGGGTCGCCTCCCTGAACTTGCCAAGAGGGGCCAAAAAGGAGCCTCTTTTGACAAGTTCTGACATAACTGAGGGGCCCTTTTGGACCTTTCTACGAAATCCCACCGGGGGATCTTTGAGCCCATTTTAATATTTTTTACCTCTTTTCAAAAGTATAGCAAACCATAATACATAATTTTATAGTTGTACCATCCAAAAGCATTCATTCCACCACTGTTCAAACTACTATCAAAGCTAATATGTATCTGTATATAAAATCAGCAACAGCTCTACATTTCCTGTGAGCCAAGATGAGAACCTAGATTGTAGCTCTTATCTCTCATTCAAGATACCTCTTACGATGGAGAAGGTCAGAGGCTCCTCCATTGAAAACGCTTCAATAAATTATAACAAAGTCAGCTTTTAGCATAATATCTATGCATTATCCGTATAATTTGGTGGTGAGCTCATAAGAACACCCAGTTCTGAAAAGTATTTCAGTGTGTTTTGAGAGGAATGTTTTGAAACCTGCGAATACCTCTGGCTGAAACTTGTTTGAAGTTTAAGCCCCAAAACTTTCACGAAACCAATAAATCATTGACAAAGGAAAGAATACTGGTTCAACTTGTATTTCCCTGATGAATGCAAATGATTTGAAACTATCTAGAACGAGCCTCGGTCAATTTTCAGTCAAGTAAGTAACCCTTGTTTGCTACGAGGTGAAAACAGTTGGTAGAAGGAACAAGTTTATATACATAGGCTGTCCCAAAACAACTGGCACTAAGGCTGTCATTCGGGAACTACAATAGATATCGATATGCGGTTTGCAGGAGGTGATAGCTCATACTTTTAGCTCTTAAACGAGCCTAAGTTGAGCTAGTTTGGTTAAAAACTCAACGAGTTACATCAATTTTCCCGAGACATGTAAGAAATACCCCTACGGATTTTTCGGTAATTTTTCATTCCGTTAACTTTGCCTCCGCAAGCTGTACAATTGGTTCAGACGTTATGAATCAAGTTCCCACTTGTCTGGATGTAACTTTGAACTGGTCAGCAAGTGTTTTCATCACAGCCGAGAAGTTTTTTTCTGTTTGCAAAGTCAGTCTAGTGAAATTGTCCGGCCTGATAACGCGTTTTTTGGTGTTTCGTCATGAGTTCACCCGCGGAGTTGAAGCAAGACCAGCGATACGCAATTCGATATTGCGTTCGTCGTGAATTATCGGTCTCTGAAACTGTGAATAAAATGACAGTGGCTCAGAAGTGTTTCAGAAGCAGATAATTCACGACGAACGCAATATCGAATTGCGTATCGTTGGTCTTGCTTCGACTCCGCGGGTGAACTCATGACGAAACACCAAAAAACGCGTTATCAGGCCGGACAATTTCACTAGACTGACTTTGCAAACAGAAAAAAACTTCTCGGCTGTGATGAAAACACTTGCTGACCAGTTCAAAGTTGCATCCCGACAAGTGAGAACTTGATTCATAACGTCTGAACCAATTGTACAGCTTGCGGAGGCAAAGTTAACGGAATGAAAAATTACCGAACAATCCGTAGGGGTATTTCTTACACGTCTCGGGAAAATTGATGTAACTCGTTGAGTTTTTAACCAAATTAGCTCAACTTAGGCTCGTTTAAGAGCTAAGAGTATGAGCTATCACCTCCTGCAAACCGCACATCGATAGCTATTGTAGTTCCCGAATGGCAGCCTTAGTGCTAGTTGTTTTGGGACAGCCTATGTATTAGTTTTATAAACTAGGAATGAGTGATGATGATGGAAATTTAAAAAGTCGAAATCTAACTTTGACCATTTACAAAGGGAAGAAAATAAATAAAATCGATGCTTTTTGCAGAACGGTTTCTAAATTATTTTTGTTGTGTTTAAAATGCTCCTTTCGAAATTTTACCAAAGTTATCTACTTTCTCCTTTGTTTATGTTTTAGCCTGTCCTGGAGGAGGAAAAGGCAAATGCTAAAGTCAATGGTCAAGCAAACGGTCAAGCCAATGGTCAAGCCAACGGAAAAGCAAATGGACACATCAGTAATGGAAAAGTCTCCTCCAACTATACAACTCCTCAATCAAAAGTATCGAATTCAGTCTATTATTCGAACAGTATTACAAATGGTTTTATGGCCTCAGAAGAAAGCCGGAAAAGCAAGTAGCATAATTCAACAGATTTTTTTACATGGTTATTTTCAATTTTTTTTTTACAGTTTTCCATTTGAAAACTTTAAAAAGTTCTCAGAGTATTATGTTTTTTCATAGTTATCTGAGCTGGGTGAAAGAACAGTCTTACAAGTCTCAGAGAAAAACGTTTGACTCGTAAGCTGAAATTTCCAAAATTTTGATCATTGAGTGACTGTGATTGCCGGAGTATGATAACTCCATCATTCTGTATGTTTTATTGAAAGGAAGAAAAATCTTAACAAAAATCATGAGATCAGGAGTTTATCTTGTCTCTTCCTGAAAATCCTCCTCCCTTGATCTCTTTCACCTTTTCTCAAACATTTTAATGATTTCAGCTTATTTGTCTTATGTCATAAAACAATTGTTGGGAAGCATGTTTATATATTCAGGCATGTTTATATATTCAGGCAATCACAATTGCATGTTTATTATTCACAAAAAACCCAACTTGACCTTGAATGTTTAAGCTTATTTCTGTGTGCAAGTGATTACTCATGTGTTAAAAATGTGTTTGTGTAGGTTTTAAAAGACGTAGTTTAATTTTTAGTCATTGCATTTTTTATTCGAACATGGGAGCCTTTTGTGTTGTACTTAACCATAATTAATCACAGAGAAGGACTATCAAGTAATTTTCTGTTCATAACTCATTTAAGCCAGCAATGAGGGAACAATCCCACAGTTCAGTGCTTCTAACCACCAGAATGTTTCAGGCAATGCTGACTTGCCTGAGTTAGCCTTTTTTCAGCAGCATTGATGAAGAACCACTTTCTCTTTTTAATGTAAATGCCATTGTCTTTTCACATCATCCAAATACTTTTATCGGGAGGTTCTTCTCCAACTCACAGAGGTGTACTAAGGAGCAGCTCAAGTATTACGTAACGCACATAGGGGGAGGGGGAGGGGGGTGGTCAAGCCCAGTTTTATGTAACAAATTCGAGCCAAGGGAAATAAAACTTTGAAAAAACGTGCAAAAAATTGAAAATCCTGCACTTACAGAATAATTCTTTTCCGCACGTGACCCGTCGTATTTCGACGAAATATCTGAAATAATAACCCCCGAATTTTTTCAAGCCGTTTTCTCAGTGTTTTTTTGATTTTTTAAAATGGGGGGGGGTGGTCAGACCAACGTTTCGTAATTCAAAAGCGGAATGTAGGGCTATGTCAGGGGAAAAGGTGAGGGGGATCGGAAAAAGTGCGTCATGTAATACAGGACCAGCCCTCAAGTATTTCTGTTTTGCTCTTGGTCAGAGTAAATCTCATGTCCGCAACCCTAACTTGCTGTCTTATCCTACATAACTTCCAACTCTCTGCATTTCTTTTCCTTTCCTATCTTCTATAATAATGGATCTATTCATTGTTTCCAAAGTTAGTATGGCATCAGTAAATACTAAAAGCAGTGGATTTTGATGAAAGGAAAAACTAGTTTTACCTATTGATGTTACACAGAACATTAACTTAATTCATCAAAGTAGGGGGAAAAATACAAAAAGTTAAAAACCAGAACCGTTTTTCTCTTCTAGTATTTATCTCAGAAAAAAATAAGTAGGCCTTTGTTGTTAAAAACAGTAAGTTCTTAGCTTTTAGCTTCGATGTCATCTTGTCTGCCTTTGTCAATCTTGTTCTACTGCGTAGTTCTTCTTTCCCCTTTTTATGATGGCACTGACAGCAGTAATACTTGTTTCAGATTTCTTCTCTTAGTCAGTAATGTTACCAAAATTGAAAGGTTTTCTTATTGCATAAAAATGTTGAACGTCCTAATGATCCTTACTTCTTTGTTTTTTTTACACTCTATTTTCTTTATTTGTCTTCTTTTGTATTTTCTTATACATCATAGGTAGTTTTTTCCCTCTTGACTCCTGGTAGCATTATTTTGTAAAGATATTCAGATTAAAAGGATTTTTTTTTGTTTTTTGTCATATCAGCATTATCTTCAGTTTTTTGAGTTACAACAGCTTTTGAAGATAATGTACTCTTTTAAATTATCAAGAAAAGGAAAAAAATTGATCTTCTACCTCTGTCAATATTGTCTTCAGCAGTAATCAAACATGTTTACGCACAGGGAAATAGTTAACATTTGATTTTTCTTTTGATAGAAATTGCTCCTTGTTTGTTTTGTCTCCCATCCCTGAACATCAATTTTGTCCTTTCAAGTCATACATTTATCTGCATTTTCCTTACTTCTTATTAAGTGCATTACAAGTATCAAAGCATTATCAACATACAGTCACCTTCCGGCCAAAGTATCACAAGTGCCATGCGACGTTTCAAAATTTCTGCCGCCACTTTATTTTTTTGCAGAGAAATTGTTTAATGAGACTGTCCGAAATTTTCACTGAATTTTCTTTGTGCTGCTGATAAAATTCAGTGAAATTTTCAAACAGATTTAATCAACTACTTCTCTGTAAAAAAATGAAATGGTGGCGGAAATTTTGAAATGTCCTATGGTGTTTGTGATAGTTTGGCAGGAAGGTGATGATATTCCAATTGGTTTTGTCAACAAAATGTTCCTGGGATATATAATGAGGAAAATATCCAGAAAAAAATTAACAGGCATTTATCACCTTCATTGCACAATTTTATAAACAGGTCATATGGAATGATTCAACCATAAAAGTAGTATCTTTTCATAATTTATTTTTCCTACCATGAAAGGAACACCTTCATTGCAAAATTTTATAAACAGGTCATATGGAATGATTCAACCATAAAAGTAGTATCTTTTCATAATTAATTTTTCCTACCATGAAAGGAATGTGACCAAGGAAGCCTAAATTTGCACCTACGAATACTTAAATTTGCTCTTCTTGAGACTAAACAATCATTTCCATGTCAAAAAGCCTCAGGGTAACCTGTTAAAGTTTGGTTTTTATTTATCACTTAGCCTTTTTTCTTTATTGTGTAGGTATACTTTCACTCCACATTTTATTTTTTTATTAATCACCGTAAGTTTTATAAAAGTATTAATGGAAAAAAAAATGAAAAATGTAAGCATAATATGTTACTTCAAATATGTGAAGGAGTCGCTGTTAAATATTGCTGTGTCCTAATTAACCTATCAACAGACATTGCGGTCGTCTACCTTATTCTAAAAGGAAATTGTCCCATATTTATATAGAGGTCCTGCTTTCATTTCAGGATGTAAACCTCATCCCAAGTATTGAGAATGCTATATTTTTGAGCATGGTATTTGTTTACGGATCAGTTTAACATTGTTTTCACTTTGTGTCTTTTTTTGCATTCAAGATTATGATCATGCTGTCAGCATGATATATCATCGAATATGGATTATTTAATAATTATAACAAACAAAAAATCAGGTTGAATATGGTGCCATTCCCCCCCTCCCCTTTGTTTATTTGTTTGCTTGTTTCCTCTCTTTTTTTCCGTAATTAAGCCAGGGTGTTTTTAACGAATTACCACTAAAGAGTTCACAGAATGTTTGCAAAGCAGGGTCAGGAAGGTAAGATAATCTGAGAAAAAAAAATGTATTTTTGCCTCTGGTTTGATTTTTCATCATGTGCATTTTTGCAAGGAGCACGTTGATGGATTGTTCACTAACAAAATCACGAGTGTTTTGAAGCCTTGAAAAAAAAATTGGGATTTTTTTCTGAGGCTTGCTGATACCCTGGTTTCCTACTCAAGTGATAACTCATGTTCCAGTAGCATGACTAATGGCTCCTCTTTAGTGTATGTACATCAGATAAACCAAGGTAAACTAAGTCTAATTGAAATTACGGAACACTTATATTACTTGCACAGTTAACGATAAGTTTTTTCCTCATTCCTTTGAGGTTTGTCTTTAGTTTCTCTTTTTTTTCAGGATGCATCAGGTTTTGCTCTGAACGAAAGTAGAAAGGCCCCGCTATTGTGTAACTGCCCTTTCTAAAATTCTTATCATCTTCCTAAAGTTTAGAATATGGTATTGCTGTTATGGATTCTCATTCTTTCTTTCTATGGAGATCATTTCTATTTCCAAATTTTAACTCTCCTAGAATCTTTAATGATGCATCACTGGAATTTTACATCCCTTTATCTGTTCTGAAGTAATATTACTATTGTCATATTCTTTTTTCCATGAAAACTCAGCCCCTCTGAATGCAATTCAATTTTTTTGATTCTCTGTCAATCTGTCAATGTTTCCTTGTGATTTCTCTCTGCATTTAAATCATTTTGAGATAACTTGAATTTATGACTCTTAAAATTGTGTATGCATTTTGTCAATTAATAGTATGTATTGGCTGGTTCGTCAAATAATAAAAAGAAAAAAAAGTAAAAAAAAAAAAGAAAAAAAAACAAGAAATGGGTCAGATAAGCCTTTCAAAATTATTATGTGGCCTAAGCCTCCACTGTTTTTCCAAACTTTCTTTGATGACGCACCCAGGAGAAAAATTTAGTCAAAGAAAGCTATAAATTAGGGTGGCCGAAAATGAGTTTTGAATCACACTCATAGCTTGCAAATTTACATGTCACTATCAATATGGTAACAGAATCCTTACAAAATGTTGAAGGTTGTCAGCATTACGTCACTTCAACTTTGATGTCAGCACAGATCAAAAGAGACAATGATAACTTGTGCATTTGTGCTCATATCACCTGTTTAGTATCTGAGAGTGCCTGTTTTTTGTTAGGTACGATCACTATACTTAAAATACTCTACTTAAGCATAAAATTTAGTCCTCCCTCTCTAAAACTTCAATTTTTCCATAACAGAATCTTTTCTCTTTTTGACCCGGTTTTTCTTTCTTTCTTGATAGCTTACTGAGTATTTCCTTTGAACATTGTTACCAATGCATAATCAAAACTAGAATTTAAATGCTGAAATGAATATTTGTCTTACTCTGCCAATTGTTTCTTATATCTTAAGAACTATCAGTTTATTTTGGTCCTTAGCATTGAAGCAACATCTTGGAAAAGGGCAAGTGAAATTTTCTTGTTTGCCTGTGACATGTTGTTTGTTAACCAAAAAAAGAAATCTGCCTGTAAGATAAAGAGATCTGGGTGCTTTAACAGCCTTACCTTTACTAACATAAAATGTCTCAGGTGCTTGCAATTATTGAAGCACTTACCCAAAAGTATTATTTTCAAATGACTATATACCTTCATTATCTCTGTTTTAGAATCAGCAAAACAAGAGTTTCTTAAATCAGCTCTTTTAAAAGCACAGGGTTTTTTTTCTTTTTCTTTTTGCAGAGTAGGCATTTTGAAAACATGATGTTTTCTTTTTCTCTCATTCATTTTTTATTTCACAATAGTACTGCTATTTTCATCATGGTTTTTGTCTATTCTAGTAAGCCAGTCATCAGCTAGGACTTCTATCAAAAAGTCTGTAGTTAATAATTACCATTGAACAATGACAATTACTTTCAAAATTTTTGTTGTAACAGCCTTTCAAAGGATTTAAAATGTATAACACCCTATTTTACAGCACCTTTCTTTCCACTGTAAAAATCTCTACATTTCTAAATTTGTGAATCTTAAATTGAAAAGATTAGTTTAATTTTTGTGAACTTGGTTTTAGCTTTTACTTGTGTTACAAAGTATAACTGTAAGACTGATTTTCTAAAATCATGATTTCTTTTTTTCGTCTGTTGATCGCAATCAATTGTACCTTTTATTGGATAATCTCATTCTTAATGTACTTCAACTCTAGTTTACAAATATATAATTATTTTTTAAAGGTCTTCAATTTTTTTTCCAGAAAATCAGTCTTAAATCAATGCACAGCTATATGATCTGCATCGCCAGTCGCAACGACCTCTTGTACCTGTTAGTCACCCTGTTCACAATTACCCTGCTTTTCTCATCATTATTTAGACAAGAAAATGCAAAAAAAAAAAAAAAAAAAAAAAAAAAAAAAAAAAAAAAAAAAATCCTGAAAAAGCAGGAATTACTTTATTTTACGTATTGAGTCTAGCCTAATTTATTATTAATCTACTTGTATTAAAGTTTTTTATTTATTTTTATTTTAATTTGTCTGTTTTAATGTTTTCAAAACCTTCCTATTTTCTTTTTGTTAGCCTTTTTGAGGCTAAAAATCTGGTATCTTATTTCCCGATCCGCAGGCTCATTATTTAAACTTCAGTGATACCGTCCAAGAAAGAAGCAATACAAAAAACTTAGGATTATCAGGAAACTGTCTTATCTGGACTTCAGATTGTCCAAATAGATTCGTCAAGTGTGCTTCGGGCTTCGGCTTAGGCAACATTTGATTAAAACCAAATTAAAATAAATAAAATAAAATGATTAAATCAATATACAGTTTAAATTTAAATTAATAAGTAGGCAAGTAATCAGTTTCCAACTGTTTATCAAAAACATAGTTTACAGAAAAAAAATTTCCCAAAGCCATTCAATTGACTCGCAGAGGCCAATTTTTGTTGAAACTTTCCACACATTTGATTTTTTAAGGAATTGGTTCACAACTCGGGCTCAGGAACATGGGTTTTTTTCTTTCTTTTTCTGCGGTAAAAAGCAAAATGCTAAGTATGTTATGTGCTTCAAGATTTTAATAATCGTACGTAATTGGACAAGCTCAGTCAGGTCAATTATTATGCCTTTCACAGGAATCCATTCCTCCGCATGGCCCTCACCCTACCATAGACAGCATGATGCAGCATCCTGTGAGAAACTGGAAACTTAAGCAAAATTGGATTGGTCTTGGTAATGGGGTGTTGGTCTCTTCATCCTTTGACTGATCAATTGATTTCTGTTATTCAGATTGGTGCTGTCCTAACTAATTCTTGCACCTCTAAGTAGTCCAAGTTAATGAGTGAAGAAGTCATGAAGTTTCAGTGATCAACCTAATGGCTGGGAATTATAAATAGGAACAGAAAGGAAGAATCAAAACTGTCTTCTCATCAACTGTTTTATTTAAATTATAAGATGACACAGATACAAAAAACAAGAAACCCCTTTTTTTACGATAGGGGACAGGTAGGAAATGGAGTATCAAACGCCAGAAAATAGTTTCTTACGCTGCAAACAAGCCCCACGAATTTTGTTTTTCATCAACCAATTAAAACCAATTGCATTTGTGTGGTGCTGTCTTCAAAACGGTAAATTGACAATTGCAGCATGCTCTTTGTCCTGACGAATTAGGCAGACTTAGTGGCTAGAAAGCCTGAGCATTGAAGATTAGGGCTAAAAAATTTCGTTCGAAGGTTGATCCACTAACACATTCTGCTGAAATGATCGCTAGACCAATAAAGTGGAATCCTATCTCTCTGCAATTGGGTTTGAACGAATAAATGTATTCCATGTTAAAAGTTTTCAACTCTTTTTACCTCAATAATACATCAAAGAAATGTTGGAATTTGAAAAAGCTGATGTGCTTAGCAAACAAAATTTAAGGGATCCCCTCCAAAAATTTCTAGAAAATCAAAAGAAAGAAAAAAATCATACCAATTGATCGTGGATCCGAAAATAATTTCAGTAAAAAGTAACTTATCCTAAGAAAGTGAATGTGCCTGAAAAGGAGAGTAAATCTGTTTTACGAACAATACTAATTACATACGTTTTTCTCAGAAAGTTCAAAGTTTTCCATGCCGAACTCATGTATGTTTCATTAAAGTTATAAAAAATAGATTCTGAAAGTTTTAAGTTATGAATTTTCAGAAATTTTTTTCCCGCAAAAAATATTCTAAGAACTGAGGATTCTTAAGCGTCAATACTGAGAGATGAGATAAGAGACACGGGATACTGTGGCCAGTCAGCGTTTTGAAACCTTCTACGCCTCTGTAAGACTAAGCTCGGGCTGAGGGCAGTTTGTACAGTGAAACAGACCCATTGAGATTATTCTATCGGCAAACCCGATTCTCATCAGTCTTAGCACAAACCTCCAGCTTAAATTATATTGAAAAATTAATAAATTATTCCTTAAGGCACATCCATTCCATAACAGGAAAAATTAATTCTTCTGTCTGACATCTCAAGACAATCCTGTGAGAGAAGACAATCACTGGCGTTACTCTCTTGAATCACAGGAAGAGCGATGACGATTCCTTCTACGTTGTATGCGGTGTTAGGAGGACTTTTATAAGACAGCAGATTTGTATTTTAGAGTGAGGTAGGTAAACAGAGGGTAGCTTTGAAAATATCCATACATGGTAGCTGTGTCAGATCTTTTCCCCTGTCAAAACGGTCCCATTGGTACCCGTAGGAAAGCCCGATGGGAACCCGTAGCAAATTCCCACGGGGATCCGTTGGGAATTGACCATGGTTCCAATGGGTTCCAATGGGGATAGTCAGTCAAGAACCTGCGGGTTTGGATCTGTCCCCATTGTAACCCATTGGAACCATGGCTAATTCCCAAAAGGTGAAATATCTGGACGCCCTCGTGTGGTCTTGAACCGTACCGCGGTAGTCATAGCCCCGCACTCTGCCACTTAGCCACAGGGAGCTGATGGTGTGCTGGGTTAAAATCATGCCTGTCAAGGCTCTTATAGCATGCATTGCGTCAGTGTGCGGCTCAACTTTCTATTTTTAAAATATTTTCAAAACTTTTTAAGGAATATTTTAAAAATTCTTACCTGCAATATTTTTGAATTACTTTAAAAATACTTTTTGTAAACATTTTCAAAATATTCCCTACAAAAGTTTTAAAAACATTTGAAAAATGTTTTGAAAATATTTTAATTACAATATTGTCATGAAAATATTTTGATAAAGGTGACAATATTTTCAAAATATTTTGTGCTAACTGGGTATGTTTCACGGGCACTTGCTACCAGGTTTGATGAAACCCCTTTTGGAGCATTTAATTGAATGTTATTCCTAGATTGTATTGGGTCTTAGTGAAAAAACCAGTGTTAGGAATTAATTTTAAAAAAATACGTAAATAATGGCGACTTCATTCCCTTCTTCAGGACGTGGCTATTTAATACAGTGAAATTCCTGCTTGTTTGTGTTAGTTCGTAATGTCTCTCTAAAAGCGTCCGAATCTCGAAAATCCCATTTAATAATTAATAATTAAAGCAGAAGATTATTTCTTGCTCGCCGATAGTGACGTATTCCAATGAATTGCGGTCAGCGAATTTCCTCCGATACCAAAACTTTTCAGACTGAACTGGAGTACTAGTGTGGCGTGGCACAACCAACAATACCTGATTTTTTTTTACTCATTTTTCACTGCGTTGTATTTCTTCGGACAAGTAAAACGCTGTCACCGATATTTTAGTAATCGTAGTCAAAAGCACCAACCCTCTTTTTTACTGACGGAGGATTTTCAAATTGTGCTCCTGAAAAGATTTCTCCTGTGACACTCGTGTACATTTTTCTCTGAATCCGATGAAGATATTTTCAATTTTTTCCCCGTTACATTACTGATTTTCCGTTATGGAAGCAAGCTGAAGCGTTTTTTTAAAATTTTGGACGATTAAAATTTTCAGAGGTTACCGAAGTTGAAGAAAGATCCATAATTTTTAAACGAATTTCAAGAAACGATCAATATTCAACGTTCAAAATGTTCAAAAACAGGTCGTTTATATAGGCGGCCATTAATTACACAACTAAACAAAACTCGTCCAAATATCTTTAACGGTTCCTGAGAAGAAGGTACATGCAGTAACGACTATTTCCATGCTTTAGCAGAGAAAAGTGGTCTCCTTTGTTATAAACTTCCAAATTAAAAATCGTACAGTTTAAAGGAAAATATATGTATGCATGATTTGTCTACTAGCAAGGGCAATGCAAGAAGTTGTTACTTTCCTGTTAAGATACAATTTAACGTCCTTTAACGACAAGAAAACAGACTGATCCGTCAGGTACTTATGGTTTTTGGACGCAGTTAACAGTTTTCAAATTGTTCGACTCGAAAAATTTGCCGTTGTAGACTTGGCGGGCCTCCTACGGACTCCAGTTCAAGACCGAGAATACCTGCAGCTGTCATTCACAGGGCAATTTTTGAGACGGCAAGAATTCACCACGCCGCGACTTGGCTCTCGAAGAAACAAAAAAACAGAGTTCCCTTAGGTCACTCGGGTTGTCCAAAGGGTCCCATTAGATCTCTCTGGTCGCCCCACGGGTCCCAAGAGTCCTCTCTGCCTGTCCCATAGGTTCCCGATGGTCTCCCATGGGTACCAACAGGTTTACTTCCCCATCCTATGGGTTCCCATTGGTCCCCATGAAATTCCTAATGGAACCCATGGGATCGTTTTGACAGGGCCTTCAGTTTTCTGCATAATTTAGTCGGTAAGGAATAGAGGGTATAACATACTGTTGTCATTCACCATTTTTACCGAATTTAGGAGCCACAGCTGCAAATTTCTTCGTTTTCATAGCAAAGGAGGAGTATCGTTTTGGGCCTTTTCCGGCCCCACCTGGATTTTGCTGGATGTTTCATATTTTCAAAGTCCTAGTCCTAGGTAGACTTTATGCCAAATATTTTACCGAACGGAGCCCATGCGAAGGTGCAACAACGCCTCAAACTTAGAATCTTGGCATCGAAAAATAGTTATTTTCGTCGAGTTTTTCGACTGTTATGGGGACCGTATGGGGGACTGTACTGTCACAGGTTTAGCAATCCTGCGGACCCCAGCTGGTAGCCCCTGCCTCAAAGGGGGTGGGTAGACAGGGCTCTTAGCTGTGGTGGAAGCAACCTGTCTAGGAGAGGTAACTCCGAAATCAAACCCTGGTCCTCCAGGTTGGGGGTTGGGGCATCGGGCTGACTCCCCGATCCTCGGAAAAAATGTACAATGTCAAAAAACCCAAAAACATATGCCTCGGTAACCATGGAAACAAACGGACTCTTCGACATAGATTACGGAAAACGACACTCGCTTTTGGTACTTGGAATGTGCAAGGCATTTCCAAGAAACTGACGGAAGTGGTATCGGAGATAAAGAACAACGGGATCGACGTGGCGGTAATAACGGAAACGAAGAATAAAGGCCACGGATCAGAGAGCCTTGGGGACTATGATTTATTCTACAGTGGAGTGCCGAAACATCAGCGTGCGCAGCAGGGTGTCGCAATTCTGATCCGCAAAAAATTTCGAAAAAATATTAAGAACTGGGAAGCCATCAACGCTCGCATGATTAAGATGAACCTAACTATGCACGGTCACAGAGTCACTGTTTTGGGGGTATACGGGGTCAATGATGATGCTACCATCGCACTTAAGGATCAGTTTTTTGAAGAACTGGACGAGGAGGTAGTGAAGGTAGGACCTGGGAGAGAAGTCCTTGTGTTGGGAGATCTAAATGGAAGAACGGGATCCCGGGTTAACAGTAAAATCGTCGGCCCGTTCGGTGAAGTTACGGTGAACGACAACGGAAGCCGCATTATCGACGTTTGCGAGCAGAGGGAATTAAAAGTATTGAACGGGTTCTACCAACACAAGGATATTCACAAATATACTTGGGTCCAACCTACCCGCGGCTTAAGATCCATCATTGACTACGTGCTCGTTAAACAGGTAACAAACCTGAAGATCCAGCAGGTGAGAGTATGTAGAGGACTCTCCTGCGGTAGTGACCACTATTTCCTCAGAGCGGATGTAGCCTTTCCCGCTCGGGTGTCGCAGAACGATCGAGGCGACAATCAACAACCGGAGCGACAACGCGTACATCAAGTTCAGTACAACATCGATAGCCTAAAGCACCCGAGTGTCAAGGCTCTGTACGCAAAGCGCCTGGATGAAAAGTTAGGAGATGCGTGCGATGGCAGTACAGAAGAGCGGTATGAGTTCATCAAGAATTGCGTTCACTCGGCGGCAGCGGAGGCCCTGGGGATTTCTGATCAAAAAAATGATAACAGAAAACCGTACTGGTGGGATGCGGAGGTAGAGGAGGAAATAAATGTGAAAAGGAATAGGTATCATCAGTTTCTCTCTTCCCAAAAGTTGGATGATAAAATTATGTACAGACAGGCTCAAGCAAGAGTCCGTCGGGTAATTACTAGGAAGAAGAATGAGGCTTGGGAAGAGAGCTGTATGAAGATAAATACCTACCTTGGAGGTCGGAAAAGTACGGAAGGCTGGAAAGTGATCAAAGGGTTGCGGCGGAATAAAATGCGCGACATCATATCTCCGATACCAATTGACAAGATGGAAGACTATTTTAAAGATTTATTAACGGAGAGGCGACCCGAGTTTCAAGGCGGAGTCATAGGCACTAAAGAAGATTCCAACGTGGAGATCCAGCTCCAAGATGTAGTGAAGGCTGTGAGGGAGTTGAAAACTCGCAGAGCTCCTGGACCTGGGGGTATACCGGCAGAATTGATAAAATGTGGCACCGGTAAACTATTTGAACATCTTCGGAAACTTATGCAAGACTGTTTGCATGGTTCCGAAATACCAAAGGATTGGAAGGAATCTTGGATTACTCCCAGTCATAAGAAAGGTAGTAAACAAGATTGCGATAATTACAGAGGTATATCGGTCACAGGAACCTTGAGCAAGGTCTATGGTAAAATTCTCAAGGCAAAGGTCGAAGAGTTTTGGAGCGGCCAGGAAGCCGAAGAACAGGCTGGTTTTAGAGCCGGTAGGTCCACCGTCGACCATCTGTTCACCATTACCCAGGTCATCGAGAAGAAAAGGGCGGTCAGCCAGGAGCTGCACTTGGTGTTTGTGGATCTTCAGAAAGCTTATGACAGTGTGCCGTTAGTGAAACTTTGGGAAGCCTTGGAAAAAAGGGGTTTTAGCAAAGGACTTGTGGGGGCAATTAAATCATTTTATAACGGGACTATAGCAAGAATTAAATGTCGTGGAGAGTTTTCCGGAGGTTTCTTCGTCACAAAAGGGCTAAAACAAGGCTGTTGTTTGTCACCAACACTATTTAAGGTATACCTAGAGCACGTGTTAGAGGAATGGAAAAAGAAGGTTGCAGGAATGGGCGTTCCACTCCTGGATGGGCAGACCCTTTATACTCTATGCTTTGCCGATGACCAGATCGTTGTAGCTCAAGATGAAGAAGATGCAGATTACATGACGCGGAAGTTGGTCGAAGAATATCGGAAATGGGGCATGGACGTTAGTGTGTCCAAGACAGAGAAGTTGGTCATGGGAGCAGCGCATCAACGGCAAAGCATAGAGCTTGAGGATGGACGGCGCATCGAAGAGTGTGATGAGTACAAGTATCTCGGTGTCTGGCTTGATCAGGATGGAAGGATGGATAGAGCAATTAAGGACAGGATCATCCAGGGCAGGAGAGCCATCGCGATGCTGAACGGGGTGCTCTGGGATCAGAGCATCTCAAAGGCAAACAAGCACCGGATATATGACGCCATCGTTAAAAGTATCGTGCTCTATGGTAGTGAAGTGTGGCCTTTGACGAAAAGAACGCAAGAAATGTTGAGGGCAACTGAAATGGATTTTTGGCGGCGATCTGCCGGCATTTCGAGACGGGACCGTGTCCGCAATGAGAGAATTCGCCAGGTGATGAAGGTTGAGAAAGATATCGTGCACGACGTCATGTCCAGGCAGTTATGCTGGTATGGACATGTGCAAAGAATGTCGGAGGAGAGGTTGCCCAAACAAGTTTTGGATTGGGTACCACCTGGGAAGAGGCGGCGGGGACGTCCCGTAAAGGGTTGGCGGCAGGGCGTTGACGAAGAGATGTTGCGTTGTCTGTTGCCCGATAACCTCTGGGAAGACAGGCATATGTGGCGTTTGGGTGTCGTAGAACGCCAGAGTGCGTTATAAAGCGACTTTATATATATATATATGACTCTTCGAGCGGATGATGCCTATGTATTTTTTTAATACTTTCCGTTTCTGGCCTTTTTAAACGCCTCCGATAAATTTTAAGGGGTCTCACGGCCCATTGTTGCCATTTTTGACCAATTTTTAGGGTTATTTTCAATTTTACACATGCAGAAATCAATTGAAATCAAAAACCATATTCGTTTTTGAGAAGAACGCAAAAAATGAATAAAAAATGTCCCGTACAACTTTTCTCTACGTTGCCAAATTTTCGATAAAAATCGTTCCAAAGAGTCAAAAATCGCAAAAAATTCGATGAATTGCCGCACTTAAGGTTCAAGAAAGTGGGGTAGGTACAACTTTTATATTGACGTACGCAACAGCTCTTACCTATATATACAACATATCAAAAAAATATAGTTGTACCTGGATTCCCACGATGTGAAAATTGACCGGGATGTCGATTTTAGCGGCCTTTTTTTACTTGAAGGTAGTGGCCTTGAATGTTTTTCGACCTTAGTCACCCTCCATGGGTGTGTACCTCATGTATTTTTCTACGTACTTTTCATATCTGGCCATAAAAATGGCTTCCAGTGAATTTTAAAAGGCCTGACGGTCCATTGTTGCCAATTTTCACCAATTTTTATTGAGGTAATCAAAATTACAGGTATGAGGTAACTTGACAACTATGTTTTGATATCATATGTCAGATAAATTTTGTCTTTTTTCGATAACCTAATAATTCCAACTGTGTAATAAAAAGTTAGTCCTCCATCGTATGTATTTTAACTTATTTATGAAAAACTCATTAGGTTATGGGTTCCAGTGCGTATTGCCTAAACAAAATAGCATAGTGTCGACAAGTAAAATAGTGAAAATTTAAAATGGATCCAGCAAAATTCGTCAAACTTTCAAATGTTTCAACTAAGCCGCTCTCCTCGCAAACAGAATGGCCAGTCTGGAAACGAAAAATTCGGGATTTACTTGATTATCACGACGGCGCGTTACAGGGAAAGGCATTGAATCACGTAGACCGTGCATCCTGTGTTACGGAAGGCGAAGCAACTTTTAAAAATTCGCATGTGATGAACGGTGGCACCGACCCGCATCGATGAGTTCGTGTGTCCCAGTTGCGCACATCTGCGCATGCGCAGTAGTGGCTCCAGTGAATTTTTGTCGGATTGTGAGGCTCTTTCCCTCGGTTAATAATTAGTTCGAAAAAATGAAACAATGCTAATCGGGTGTAAAATTATGTGTTCTATAACTTTTCTTCTTAAGTCTGAAAATGGACTGTAAACGAGATATTCGTGAGAAACCGAGCGCGGGCATGAATTCTCCATTGCCTCTTCGAGTGCTTAGGACACACGCTCTCTCCCCTTCCCCGCCCGCCCATCACGGGGCTCCGAGAGACTTGCCTCGCTCCGCCATTACTAAACCGAGCCGAACGCACGGTCTACGTGATTCAATGTCTTTGGTTACAGGTAATCGATGGAAAAATAGGTGATATTGAAACTCCTCCAGAAAATGCTAGTGAAGAGGAACCTAAAAAGTTTAAGAAATATGGGGACTATTACAAGAAAGCAAACAGTGTTGCTAAATCGACGATCGCTAGTGCCGTCACAGATGAGGTATATCAGAAGATCATGGATTCAAGAACCGCGTTTGAAGCATGGAAAGCCCTAGAAGTTCTGTTCGAGCAAACCTCAAAGGATCAGGTCAGGTCTACCAACTATGTACCTAATGATTTTTTCTCAATGCAGTGGACGAATACTGAAGACGTTTCGACTCATATTGCAAAATAGAAGCAGACTGTGTTGTACGACCTAAATAGTGGTCTAAGAGCAAGAGGTGAGGTTGAATTGCCAGATTTATTACTTATATGCAAAATTTTAAATATTTTACCGGAAAGTTTCAATATTTTCAAATCAAGCTGGATGCTGTTAACAAAAGACACTGATAAAACGATGGAGGAATTCACTGCCCAGCTGTGCATGTTTGAAAGAAATTCAGCACAGAAAGGGAGAGAAAAAGTGGACAGTGGATGCAGTAGTAATTCAGAGGCCTCGATGGCAAGTAATTTCGTTAAGAAGGATAAATTAGATCCTGAGTCTTGTAAGTCGAAAGTACAGCGACCTTGCCGTTATTGTCATTTGAATGGGCACTGGATCAGGAAATTCAAGAAATGGATTGCGGATGGAAGACCCAAGAAAAGAGAAGGGAAAGAGAGCATCCAATCCAATGTTGCAGATCCAAAAATTTTGTTAGGGTTCTTTTCAAGTTTACGTGCGTGTGGAACTTAATTTAATCTAAAAACCGTGTACATTTTCGGAAAGAACGTAAAAAAATACGTATAAAGTGTGCTTCGTAACACGTCCCTACGTTGCCAAATTTTCGAAAACAATCGTCCGGAGGCGCCAAAATGCCAAAAATTGGATTAATCATCACGTCGAAGGTTCCAGGAAGTGGATTTCAAGTTTTCTTCCACTACAATTAACGTATCGAAAATGAAAAATTGCAATGTGTCTTACGGAGCATGTAATGGCTCAGATGAACGTGACAAAACGGACCCTCAAGGTGCTTTTACCTTATCCTTCACTCCAGTTCACCTCTTTATTCCTACCCTTTTTAACCGCGAGATAATCCTTGGTTCTCAAGATGCCTGCTTCAGGCCAAATAGACCAAACAACAGAAACTGCGTGGGGGAAGTGTCTCACGATCCACATGAAAGTCATAATTCACTTTCTAGAACCTTCAACGTGATGATTAATCGAATTTTTGGCATTTTGGCGCTCCCGGACGATTTTTCTCGAAAATTTGGCAACTTAGGGAAAAGTTACGAAGCACATTTTATACGTATTTTTTTACGTTCTTTCCGAAAATGTTCCGAAATAGGCCTTTTAAAATTCACAGGAAGCCATTTTTATGGCCGGATATGAAAAGTACGTAGAAAAATACATGGTATACACCTATGGAGGGTGACTAAGGTCGAAAACATTCAAAACCGCTACCTTCAAGTAAAAAAAGGCCGCTAAAATCGACATCCCGGTCAATTTTCACATCGTGGGATTCCACAACTATAATTTTTTGATACGTTGTATATATAGGTAAGAGCTGTTACGTACGTCAATATAAAAACAAGCCGGAAAGTTCTAATACTGTCGTATTAGAAAAGCGCTCAGGTGTTAGTCAATGTATTTAGTGAAGAAAGAAAGTATAAACTCCGTCGACTTGGCTGGGTGATGGAAATAAAACATCAGCTGATAGCAAACAAAGGTTACCAAGGAAACCGTAAACGCGTTTTTCCGTTTCCCGAAAATGATAGTCACCGTTGAGCTCACCAGGTGCGTTTTTTTTAGGCTTCATTTGAGTTCAACGATCAATTTCGATAAGAATTACTCTACCGCTAAGAAATTTTCTTATAGACAAACGATCGAAACTACCTGCGCATTACGTTAAAAGCGTAAAATACGGTTTTCACAGCTTTATCTCATTAATATAAACTTCGAAGGATTCTGCCTTTTTCTATTTCACTCGAGGGGAAGTGTCCCCTCCCGGACTCTCTTCCCCACCCGGTGACTGACGCTGCGCTATGCTGAACGGTTCAGCCTGAACCTTTCCCCTACGTCTAATCGTTCCCCACTCCTCTGTTAATCGAACCATATGCCACCGCTTACGTATTGTCGCTCGCCCACCCAGGCACCTACCGGCCAGCGGTCAGTTGATGATAAATCTCGCTCATGCTCCTA